GCCTGCGGGGGAGGTCGCGGCAGGGGCGACTCGGACAGCGCCTCCGTGGCCTCCTCGGCGACAGAGGAGGAGGGCAGTGGGGCCGCGGTGGCGCTGGACCCGCTGGAGCATGCCTGGATGATGTCGGCCGCCGACGGCCACTGGGCCGGCCTGGAAGCGCTGCTGGCCTGCGAGCCCGGCCTGCTGGCCAAGCGCGACTTCATCACTGGCTTCACCTGCCTGCACTGGGCCGCCAAGCACGGTCGGCAGGAGTTGCTGGCCACGCTGGTCAGCTTCGCCGGCAAGCACCAGCTGCCGGTGAACATCAACGCGCGCACGAGCGGGGGCTACACCGCCTTGCACCTGGCAGCCATGCACGGGCACGTGGAGGTGGTGAAGCTGCTGGTGGGGGCCTACGATGCCGACGTGGACATCAGGGACTACAGCGGGAGGAAGGCTTCCCAGTACTTGAGCGTCAGCGTCGCAGAGGAGATCAAGAGCCTAGTGGGCGCCCTGGACGAGGAGGAGGAGGCGGACGACGCTGCCGGCAGCGGGCGCGGGCGCTGGAGGCTGTCGAAGGTGCTCCCGGCACACCTCATCACCTACAAGCTCTCGCACGTCCTGGAGGATGGAGATCACCACCACTTGGCTGAAGGGTGGGCTGGCAGCAAAGCCAAGGATCGCAAAGCTTCAGGCACCTCTAGTGGGAGGGTGAAACCCAGACTCAATAAGATCCGCTTCAAAACCCAGGTCATCCACAGCACACTGTCTTCGCGGGACCCTGAGCAGCCGCTGGAGGAAGAGGACGAGGAGCGGGCCTTTAGAGGCCACTCATCCTCGTTCAAGTTAAGACCCAAGTCCAACGTGTTTGGATAAAAAGCTTTGTTTTTTTTTTGTTTTGTTTTTTTCCCGAAATGCTAAGGTTTGTCGGTCCTCAGGATGGCATACGAGGTGTGGGTAAGGGAGAAAGAGGAGAAAAACAGACGCAGTTGTGCCTTACGTGAAGGGCTGGCAGGAGTCGGGAGAAATCCCCTTCAGGCCAGCATTCCGAGGGAAGGGGGTTTCTTTATAAGTGGTTCATCAGATACTGATCTGTGCCTCTTGCTCACACCAGCCGTCTAACTTGAAGCTCCTGTTTCTGAGGACTAGAAGTATGTAATTGGGGAACAAAATTGATTGAGAGTTTCTTTGCTTTAACCACTACTGGGTACATCCAAAGGAAGCAATGGTGCGCTTTTATGTATCTTTTTCTGAGTAGCTACTTTTCCAACAGCAACAAAAAGTACAAATTGTAATGAAACTGGTAGCATTTGTAGGTGTGAACAAAGCTTCATGCTACTTCATTTTTTACTAATTGCATTTGCTTTTTATGGTACTACTGAAGGTCAGGTCTGAGATGAGTTTCAAAAATACTATTTTCTAATACTAATTAGAAAATAATGTAAATAAAAATGGGAATCCTGTTGGTATCCTGTTTGTATTGTAAGTAGTGGTTCAGTTATTAAAAAAAAAAAAATTTCAGTTGTAATCACTAAAGGAATAGGCAGCATTTACTTTTGAGTTAATCCATACTCTGGTTTCCACCCGTTTATCAGATACTACTGCAGTAAGTGTTACGGGCCACTATTAATAACTACCCAAACTTTTATTTACAGAGAAAAACACTTAGTCTATTAGATAAAATATTGTCTCTTGTTCTGATTGTCATTAACTTGTTTTTCTATTGTAAAAGTTTAAATTTGCTAGGATTTTTATGCTGGGGCTCATATGCCCTTTGACTATTTGGCAGACTATAATGGTGCTTTGGAAGAATTACTTAACAGAAACTGTAGGGTTAAAGTTAAGTTTGCAAAAGATGGCATGTTATTGAGCATCTGCTATGAAATAATTGTTAAGTCAATGATTCTTCTAAGACATTTTATTTCCCTTATACATTCATAGTTTCTATGCTTTGCAACAACATTTTGCAAATGTTTAAAATGCTAAATCTTCCAGCTTTCAGTTTCTTTGTATGTAGTCAAAGAGCTGTGTAGTAATTACTGAAAAGCTGGGTGGTAAATCTGGTTTAAAATGGCACTTTATAAAATGAAAAGAGAGAAAAAAAGAATTATTTCTGTATTTAAATGCTGCTAGCTACTCAATTCATTCGTGTATAAGTGAAAAATACCACTCATTTAAAAGTAAAGACTTTAGAGAGTGGCTGTTAATTACATTTGATTCTTTATTTGTGTTAAAGTATCTACTGGCTTTATAATTGGTTTTATAGTTCAAATTTTACTAACATGTACCTCAAGTCCTTTTATAATAAGCTAAAATATGTCTCTGGAGGGTTAATTTGACACTGTCCTTCTCTCAAATCTTTTGGGTCTCCTCAGTGCTGACACCAAAGTTGCTAGTACAGCCTGCCAGAGACAGGAGTGAGTTGCAGAATGCACGAGCCTGTGCACAGGAAGTGTGCAGAACCGCAGTATCAAGGTTCCTAGATCTTGAATTGCCCAAGTCAGAAATTTGTGACAAGTTTGCCATGGCACTGCCTACATGGCAATTGAATTTGCTTAAAGAGGGGTGAGAAATTCACAAAATACGTAAACTATTGTCTGTTTGTCTAATTTTTAGGGTTTTGGAAATGGACCATGAACGTTTGAAAAGCACTTTTATTCACACATGTAGGTGGAAAACTAGCCTAGTTGAATGTAAATTAAAATAGGTTCGTTGAGGGTGAAAAGCAGTCATTGGTTCTGAGTATGCATGTTACTGGGTAGCGCAGAATAAGCTGCAGCTTCTCATTGAGGAATCTTTAATTTCATAGATGCGTAGAACTAAGGCAACTGTAAACCTTTCAGAACCATGTGAGGGTTCTATTGGTCAGTATTAATCTCCTAAACTGTATGTTAGTAATTAATTGGACAAAATTTATAATTTTCTAGATCTTTGGAAATTGAGTTACTTTTTCACACTAAAGATTCTAACTTTTCTGGTAAGATAATAATTTAAATTTTCCAAATTCATTCCTGGAGAGTTGTGTACCATTCTTATTTGATGTCCTTGTGTATAGCAAGTGTAGCATTTTTAGCTACTTACTTATACATTCCTCATGTTTCAATTAGTTATTAAATAATGATTTGTGTAATTTGATATCCATAGAGTTGGACCTATCATTAATGAACATATGTCAAACACTTAGATGTTTATTGACCTGTGACTTTTTACATAAACAGCTCCATGTGTTCTTTATAGGTACTCTTGAAACTAGTGAATGTGACTTTTTATGTTATGAAAAATGCAGCTAGCTTATATAGCTTAAAAATCTGGTACTAGTTTATTCATACCTGAAATTGAGTCTAGGATGCTTTGTCCCTCACTTTAAGTAAGTGGAAATTTGACAGTTTGAGAATGTAAAATCAGTTTTTAAACTGCATTTTTGTCAAAATAAATTATTCATACAAGAATGTGTCTCTGAGTTGTCTTAACTTTCTGTAGTCCCTTAGTCATCTCATGTGCTTCTGTGTTATGTCCACAAAATGCTTCTTGAGGTTTCAGTGTATTTAACCCTTTGAAATGAGGCTGGTGGCTGTTAAGGTCATAGGACCTGAAGGAAGGTCTTAGGAGTCTGTCCTTCCTCTTGGATTGTCACATTTTGGGCAAGACTATGGTAGTTCCGTAGCAGTGAAGGAAGAACCCACTTGGAGAGATGGTGGTAGCTCCACCGCTGCCTTCCAAAAATGTCAGCGTACTCGTGTGCACAGGTGTGCTGTAAGCCCGCCCCGACCAGGCCTTGAGAGGCATCAGCATCTACCTGGCAAACACAAGGATCAGAGTTCAATTCTGGTTTCACATCCCACACCAGCCTGGCACATGCTGAGCATACTGTGTCTGCCCCCCCTCTCCCTCAAGAATACTACTCTCACGGCTGGGAAGATAGCTCATTGGCATAAGTGTCAACCTGGCAAGCTCAAGGTCCTGAATTTCATCTCTGGTACCAAGAAAAAAGGAATACCACTCTCAGGTCACCATACTTTTTTCTCGTGATCCCTGTGTCACTTGATCTTAGGAAATAGCTTGACGTGTTGTTAATAAGTTGCCTGCTTTTCCACACTGATGTGTGTGGCAAGTTTCCCTGTGAAGCAGTGCCTGATGCATTGAGGATATTCTGTGTAAAAAGTCTTTAAATGGAAAACAATCACTGTTTCTTTTTTCTTTTGAGACAGGGTCTCGCTATGCAGTTTGTGGTAGCCTTGTGCTTTTTTTTTAATATTAATTTTATTGAGAAACAGCAGTGAGACAGTTTCAGAAGCCCAGGTTGGTCTCAAATGTGCAGTGATCCTCCTGTCCCAACCTCGAGTGCTGGGATTACAGGCCTATGCCACAACACCTGGTTCCGGGTTTGGCACAGTGCACTGGGGGTTTGGGGGCAGACACAGTATGCTCAGCATGTGCCAGGCTGGTGTGGGATGTGAAACCAGAATTGAACTCTGATCCTTGTGTTTGCCAGGTAGATGCTGATGCCTCTGAGCTATCTCCCCACCCCCAGCACTTACTATTTCATAGCACTGTGTAATTCGGGTAATGAAACCATGCATTTATGCTAAGTGAATAAAGGTAAATATTTTTCATGCAACACAGTTCCTAAATACAAACGTGTGGGGAGCTACCGAAGCGGGCACTCAGTTCCACATGTGGGACTGGAGCAAGACCAGTTCCCAGAAGAATGCATGCCAGAGGTGAACCACATGAACAAGCTGTTCCTGTCCTGAAAACACCAGGTACCAAAGGCAAGCCAAGCACACAGGTTCCTAGGCAGTGGGGTGTCACATGACGTCAGCCTGCTGAATGTATAAATAAACATGCTTAGGTGGTTGGAAAGTTCTTTTTTCCCATCAGGAGTGGAGGCTCCAGCTGACTTCAGCTTTCTGCATTTTGACTCTAGTCTTTATTTCTTCATCTTCCACCTCCTTTCACCCCAAAAATTTCAAGAGCTGTGCTGTACTCAAACCCACTTCATCAGCAGCTCAGCCAAAATAACTAATTTATTTCTATCTTAAAGGGAGTTAAAATCAGCTTTATTAAGATTTTATTTTGTGAGCCATTTAAGAAGTTTTCAAGAAAAAGTGGATTTTAAGAAAGTGTTTGTGCAGGGTCTCACTAGGCAGCTCGGACTTAATAGTGATCCTATTTTCAGCCTCCCCAAACACCAGGCCTGGACTTAGTAGCCAGTGTGGTTTGTGGTGCCAGGTATTGAACCCTGGTCCCTGTGCTTGCCTGAGCAGGCACCTAGTCTGCTGAGCTATCCCACCAGCCCTGAGTATAAGAAAATTTTACCTTACAAGCTGACTGAAGTACATAAACCCTCAGAGAACTTAATCTAACTGTCCTTGTATATCCTGAGTACTGAAGGTGTACAAATGACTTACTACTTAATTGATGACTTACTACTTAAATGGTAACTTAATTCATAGGGAAGTGAAGTGTAGTTTTGTTGCAGCAAAATTCAGGGAGATAAACCCTCATGAGAGACAAAAAATGGGAACAAATGAGGCTTTTATTGCCAGCAGGATGACGATCAGGGAATGTCGACCACCAGAGAATTTTTTACTGGGTTTTTATACCTTTACAAGTAGCCATGGTGACCACATTACCTCATTTTGGAATTTTACAAAAATGGCACAAGGTTTACATTTTCCAGGAGTTTGTTAGTATGGTCCAATTTTAGCTTATCTACAAGTTGTTTTGCTTGCTGCTTAGCTTAGCAATGTGTTCATTGTGGGTTTTAGGTCATATGTTTTGCACAGAGCACAGAGCAGGTACTCAGGAAATAAATATCCAGTATCAGGGGAGGGTCAGGGGAGGTGGTCTGAGGCTGAGACAAAGTGGATGCCAGAGCTCAGCTCATCTCGTAAAATTATTTTGAAATAACTTTTCTCTAGGGTATTTCCTCAGAGGGTTAGAAGGTCTCTAATCGTCTTTCTGTCATTGTAACAGAGACCTGAGGCAAAAAGGTGCATAAAGAGGAAGTGTTTATTGGCTCTCAGTTTTGGTGAGAGCATTACTTTGGGCCTTGATGAACCAGTACAGCATGGGGAGGCATGTTGTGATTCATATCTAAAGGTCTCCCAGGAGCCCCATATTCTTGTAGACAAAGACTTTAGAAGGCAGTTGAATCAGGGAGGGTTGATATCTGGGGTGCTATGAAGAGGCGGGGTCTGGTCAAAGAGGTGGGTCAGTGGAGTGTGGCCTGGGAGGGTTGTCTCTCTCCTCAGTTCCTTCCTTGACTCTCTCTGACTGCCTGTCACCACACCATGAGCAACTTCTCCTACACCGTACCTTTGTGCCATGCCCTTCTGCCTTGGAGCCAGCCAGGTACAGGTTGAGGCCTCCACCAAGTGTAAGTCAGAACACTGAAATTTTCCTCCTTTAGATTGCAGGTAGGTGTAGTGTATTGGGTCTGAGGGAGAAGAGCATGACAGAACAGATTTGGCACAACAGAACTGAGGTTGGCGCTGCGTTACTACTTGGCCATGTGGTTCAGGAGCCTTTGGAAGTGATTAAGGGAAGAGTTGGAAAGGGTTGGAGATGCTGGCTGGAGAAGCCCTGAAATGCTGTAAGCTTAGCCTGATGGTAGATTCTGGTCAGAGCTAAAAAGACCAGAATGCAGATAAAAATGGTAAGAAGCAGGCGCTGGAAGTTTTAATTGTTTCAGTTGGAAACAAAGTCTCCACTGGCAGCTGGGCTCCAGACCACATGTGTTATGCTCTTGGATACATTTTGCTCATGCACTGAGACTTCCTGGGAGACTGAGATCAAGGGTGGTGAAGTATATCTTCTGGTGCAGGAAATTTCAGAGCAGCCCAACATTTAGGCTGTGGCATGTGTACTAGTAGAGCTTTTAGCCACCTCTACGTTGAGACGCAAGAGAAAACTGCCTGATTATAAAAGTTTTGAGTTTGCCCAGAAAGGAAGCTGTTATAATAATACTGGGGCCTGCAAAACTGGAACTGAGGAAATTTGGTTGCTGAAAAGATTAGCTTTCAAAAGAAGCACTTTTAGGGCTGGCCAGAGAGTTCAGTGGACTAAAGTACCTGCTTAAGCAGAGCACAATGGCTGGGATTGGATCCCTATCATGCCATGCCGGCCCCACCCCCTGGGGTGCGCTGAGATGGCAATTGAGACTGGACATGGTGGCATGTGCCTGTGATCCCAGTGCGTGGGAGGCTGAAAACAGGAGAATAACTGCAAGTCCAATCTATGTAGTGAGATCCTGTAGACCCTGTACTAAATACAAAAAAAAAAAAAAGTACTTTGGATTAGAATAATAAGAAAAATGGCTGAAAGGCATGTCAGGAAAAAGCAAGACCCTGCCTCCTGGTCCACAAAAGTAAAAGACTTTGCTTCAAAACAAGAGCCCCAGGAGAGTCTGTTGGAGAAGAGTCACCCAGAATATCTGGGATTCAGGAGCCATCCAGGCACCCAGAATCCTTTGTAACCACCTGCAAGATGCAAAAGGACCAGATACTGTTCTAGCTGGTATCAGACCATGACGTCGTCCATATGGTGCTAGCCTCATGTGTATGCAGAATGCAAGAGTTTGGAGTCATAGAGGGTTCAATTCAGATCTCAAGAAGGCCAGGGAGGTTAGGCAATTTGCCCCTACGAAGGCAGGTGTGAAACTCTGAATGTAAAGCCAAAAGTGTACTGGAGACCCAGGAAGTTGAAGATGCCAGGAACGTAAAATGTTTGCTAAGGAAACCTACACACTGTGAACAAAGTTAGCCTCATGGAGAAGCCACAGGGCTTTAGCAAATGGTGCTGAAGAGACATAGTGACAGAAGCCATTTGAAGTATGAATCTCATCATAACTTGTTCTGGGTGCTAGACATAGAACTATAGGATATAATGTTTACTCAGCTGGGTCTCAGTCTTGCTTTGGCTCAATTTCTTTCTAGTCCCCTCATCTTCCTTTTGAAATGAAATGTTTACTTATGCATTGAAGTGTTTGACCTTCTTTTTGATTTTTACAAGGCTCACAGAATTTGCCTTAAGTCTCAGAGGAAGCTCTGAACTTAGACTTTTCAGCAATGCCAGAACTGTTAGAACTGTGACAACTTTTACAGATGGACTAAACACATTTTGCATAAAGGGATATCCATGAGTCTTTTAGGGGTCAGGGGTGGAACATTGCAGTTTTTATGTCTTGATGTGTTAAATATCTTCATAAACTCGTAGGCAGGGCTTTTAGAAAGTCATTAGATCATCAGGGCTCATAGCTGGTGCGTTTTTAGAAGGTAGGGTCTGGTTGAAAGAGGTGTATTACTGAGGCCATGAAGGGGGTTTATCTCTCTCCTCAGATCTTCCCTTGACTCTCTCTGCTTCCCAGTCACCATGCTATGAGCAGTTTCTGCCCCACTGTAGTCTTTGTCATGTCACTGCCTTGGAGCCAGAAGACAATGCACTG